GCAAGAAGCTTGGGAGCCTTTTATCACTCACGTGGTCCAGCCAAACAAAGCTGGCTAATGCCTTATCTGCTCTGGCACTCGTTGGCCCCATCCCAGCAACCCTTCTAGCTCAACTCAGCCAGACATGTCCCGGCTGGGCAGCAGCCCTGCGCTGCTGATGGGGATCCCAGCCAGCACCCAAATGGTGCAGAGGAGCGAGGTGACCACTGTGTCACCCTGCCAGGCTCTTCACCGGCCACATCAACAGGTACAGGGGCCAGAATCACTGGCAGAGTCCCATCAGTGCTGCCCAAGATGCTTCTGTACCAACCCTCTTCCTCTGGGAACTCACCTGGTCCCTGGAGAAGGCAGTGAAGAGTGTCAGGAAGCCCTTTGCCACCAGCTCTTCCCACTCCACCTGGCAGTAGAAGTCCTTGGATTTCTGGCGGCAGCCGAAGAACAAGCAGTTCCCTGCAGAAAGCAGACCAAAGGGCCATACTGGGTGGACCAAAGGCCCTTGAGAACGCTGGGGACCATTGGTGCCCATGGGATCTGCAGCAGAGCCCCCCAAGGCTCTCACCTCTTTGCCAGGCCTGGCTGATAGCCCTGGCCTAGAAGAGCCAGGAGGACTCAGGAACTATGTGACCATTAAGTCAGGTGGCTTGTGGCAACCAGAGGCCCCTGTGTGCTGGGAAAGCAGGAGCTGGGGGGCAGGTAGGGCAAGAAGAGCCCTCCAGGGCTGCCTGTTCCCCCCAGCCCCAGCTTCGTGCTGAGACCCACAGCTGAGCCAGTGGAATAAGGATGGGACAAGGGCAGAGGCACGACGCCTTGTGCAGCAGAGATGAGTTCAACAGCCCATCTCTACTCACAGAACGCCAAGAGTGAGCCTCTGCAGAGCCCTGCCCTGGCCCAAGGAGCAGCCTTACAGCACAGCCTGTGAATAACCACACAGGCTGCACACACCAGGCTCTGGTCCTCGCCTGCCCCAGAGCCCAGCTTGCTCCCACTCAAACACAGCAAAGCCTGGGCCTGTCCAAACCCTCAAGAGCCCCCAGGCCCTCCATCCCATATGCTGAACACAGACCTGCCTACAGCAAGGGGCATGCGAATCCCTCCTGGGACCATCGCTCACCTCTACGTCCTTGTGCCACCCGCTCCTGTATCGCTGCTCGGAAAGGTGCCACCCCTGTTCCAGGGCCAATCATGATCACAGGGGTGTCAGGGTCAGCTGGGAACTTCATTCCTCCTTTCTTCACCCAAAGAGGCACCCGGACATCACCTGCAAAAAAACCAGACCAACGAGCATCACCCCACCATGACTGCACCTGTGACACCCTGCAGAGGATGAGCCGGGCATCCAGCTGTTCCAGCATGTTCCGAAGATATGGACAGCACGTGGCTTACCACCACCCCAGCACCAAGGCACTGCTGGTGCCACGGGCACACTACGTGTGTATGAAAAGCACTTCAGCTCTCTCAGCACTGCCTCTGCAAGCACCTGAGCAAGGCAAGAGCCCCAGAGCACTCGGGCTGTGGGACAACCTTCTCCTCACACAGCTGGTGCCAGGGAAGACAGAGGTGGAGGTGAGCAGAGATCTCAACCTGGCTCTCGAGTAAGGGAGGGCCAAACTTACCTCCTCTAGGAGCCAGAGGAGGGGTGAAGATCCCCATCTAGGCACTCAGAGAAGACCAAGTCTTGCCCTGGAGTCATACAGAGCAATTCTCTACCATCCTGCAGCAGGGAGACCCTGTGAGCTTGTCACGTTTGCTTGGGGACCCAGCTGGAGGGGTTCTGTGGTTAGAGCAGATGAGCAGCACACACTGGATGGATGTGCTCAAAAGAAGGACTGTTCTTCCCAGCGCTGGTGTTATGGGGCTTGAGGTGTCCAGAAGTCAGAGCACCACCAGCTCCAGGACACCAGGAGCCGCCCACAGTGGGACAGCAGGGCACACTGGTGCTGGGAGCAGGAGGGTTGAGCAGCTGGGAGAAAACCAGGAGCTCACGGTAAGCTGTGGGAGCATTCCCTGTTCTGAAGAGGATGGGAGCAGTGAGGAAGGACCATTACTGTGAGTTCAGCCCATCCAGTGTACTCCAGCTTCCCATGGTGGTGGTGCTCCAGCCAGGGTCCAGCATGTGGCCCCCATGCACACAGCTCCACCACAGTCCCATGGGATCAGCACTATGTGCAAACACACAGGGTCCTTACAGAATCCAAGCAACATTACCTTGCTCTGGGTTGAGAGAAGCCAACCAAGAAGAGCAGAGACCGCGGCGGGGTTTGCTGAGCCGTGTCTTGTACCGCACTACTGCCATGAGAATCTGGATCCGGTCAGGGTGAGCCTGTGTCCAGACAGGAGCCATGAGAAATGAGAAGACACCCAGCACAGCTCTGCAGGAAGAGCTCAGTGCCTCCCCCAGGGACCTGTGCCCAGCTCCTGCCGGGGCATCTACAATACTCGCCCTAGCCCAAAACAGCTGCTCAGACTGAGAATGGAGCACAGCCTTGACCAAAACCTTTCCACTGGGGAAGGGGGGTTTCCCAGAGAAGCACTGCTGCGGGAATGCTCTGTACAGCTGGCAATGGCGACAGAGACTGTCCAACCCAAGAGGCCCCCACGGAGGGCAAATGCCACCCATGCTTGGGCTGACATCTGCCAAGCCATGAGGGCCAGGTCCCACTGCCACCTCCTGGCAGCAGCAGGAAGCAGCACTCCCCTTGCCAAGGCCACACCATGAAGGGAAGCTCCCAGCCTCCGTGGCACCAGCTCCCACTACTCCTGGTGACAAGGAAACCAGACCTCTGCAGTGCAGTGGGCCAGCCCTGGCACTTGCAGGGCTACAGGAGGGCAAGATCCCTAATCCGAGGCTGGCACAGCCCTGGGGTTTACATCCAGCATGTCAGGCTGACGCAGGCTCACAGTGGAGCAGGGGTTTGGGTGGGATGTGGGTGCTCAGAGGGTCTGGGAATACAGCCCAAATATCTGCAGTGTGCATGGCACCAACAGTCAGCCCTGGCCCTGCCAGACCTTCGGCTCAGAGCCTGACAAGAGGCTGAAAAGGGCTGAGCTCTTACCAGCACGGAGGAGGCGATGGAGAAGGCGCGAGGTCTGATGTGAGGGATGAGGTCCAGTAGGTATTCGGGTGGAATGGCACACGTGGTGTGAGGGAAATCCCAGAGGGCCTACAAAGCCAAGGTGGGGTGAGACCTGGTACATCCCAGAAGGCAGCCTGCCTGCTTCTCAGGGCATCAGAGGCTGCCCCACGCTGCTGTGCCACGCTGCCCTCGATGAAAGACACCATGCTGGACACCTCTAAGCACCAACCACCGTGCCTCACAGCCCTCCCCTCACCCCCAGGCTACAGCACAGGGGCCACCACAGAGCCCAGAAGGATTTGGAGCAGGTCTTAACCACCAGTGGAAATCTAAGGATGTTTCAGAAAGGGGGTGAAATAGATTAAATTCCTCAGCCAAGAAATTATGGCTGATCATCCACCTGGGTGCTTTATGCCATGGCACAGATCTCACAGAGCAGGTTTGCCATGCTCCCCCAGGCCTACCTCGAGGGTGGTCCTGCGGGGCCGGTTGCAGTAGCTGTACAGCTCTTCCTGGCCCTGTGCAGAGCTGAACTCCTGCAGCTTCTCCCGCTCCAGCTCGTTCGTAGAGAAATAGGACAAGAGCTCGAAGAAGGAGCGCCGCGGCACACAAGAGATGTCCAGGTAGTGGGTGACCAGGTGCCGGATGGTGCAGGGCTGCGGCAACAGGGCAGGGAGGGATGTGCCTGCATGGCAAGGCAGGGGGGAGAGCTCAGTGCCAGCACCGGGGCAGGACACCCAAGCACCGCCTGCCTGCTGCCCCCACAGCTCTGGTGCTCCCCAGGATGGGGCAGCAGTATGAGCAACCTGACTGGGGTCTTGGGCTGGGGAGGCTGCAGGATCCTCCACGCGCTGGGCTGGGGGCTGCAAAGACACAAGATATGGGTGCAGCCTGGACGCTGCTGGGTCCCTCCCATGAGTCACACTGGCCCTAACGTGGGATCCTCACGCACAGAGCGCGGGGAGGGAAGGCCAGCCCCCATGCTGTGAGACAGACAAAGGTCCTGTACCCATCAGCTTCTCCCAACTCCCTATTTACTGTGCCTAAAGCAAAGGAAAAGCAGAGCTCCAGGTTGAGCCAGAGCTCAGGAGGTTGGGAAAGGAGGAGTGGGCAGGACCTACCGGGCTCCGTGGGCTTCAGCACAAAGCGTCTGTCTGGATCCAGGCGCAGGAGCTGGCAGAACTGCTGCACGTCTTCGGGGCAGTTCTGGGGCTGGATCATCACCACATCCCCTGCACTGAACCTGTGGATACAGCAGGACCTGCTGAGGGGAGCCTCGGGGCAGGCCTGTGGGCACAGCACCGCCAGCCTGACCAGCACCCGCACCAGGGGAGAGGCCACAACTAAGCCAAATTTCCAGTGTCACTAATGCTGTGCTCTCTAACCTGATGAGGCAAAGAGAGCTGGTCCATGGGCAGGAGCCACACTGCCATATGCCCCTGACTTTGTCATGGAGGGGGACAGCACAGGAGGGATATCCACAGGGCCACGGCCTCAGATATTACTGAAGAAGAGTGGAGGAGGAAGGCAGGCTATAGGACACCCCGTCTCACACAGCAAAGCCTGCGGGAGTCAGGAAAATACTCACGTGATTCCTGAGCCCATGACATCGAACTCGATGAGCCGGACATCCTGGAAATGGGATTCTGCTGTGACCCGCCGATTGGACACCACCCGGGCAGCGAAGGGATGCAGCTCAGAGGGAACAGCCCTGGGTGATGTTGGCTGGAGCAGGCCACCATCGGGGTGTGGGGAGTCCTCAGCCAGGTAGTGCAGGGTGTATTTTGGGGGCAGGCTGTGGGGAGGAAAGCAATGCAGTGCGCTAGAGGCTGGAGGCAGGGAGAGGCTGGAATCTACCACCCATTGTCCCTGTCCTCTGGAGCTGGCCTGTGGTAAGAGAACACAGTGCAGACTGCCAGGAGGAGGAGATCCCAAAGGCTCCAGAGCAGGCAGAGGGAAGCAGGCTGGGCACACACACTCAGCTGGTCTGCCAAGGACAGAAGCACATCAGAACAGCAAGATGGGCAGAACCCTGCCGGGCCAGCTGACACACACACACAGGGGACAAGGGGACACCCCATCCAGAGAGAGATGGGCCACCCGTGGCCAAAGTCCAAGGGATACTTGCGACACCAGAAGCTGTGTGGGGAGGCTTCCTGGTGAAAGCAGGGCACATGCCCACCCCGGAGAACTGCCAAGGAAGCATGGCGTTTCACACCAGCCAGCTCCAGCAGACCCTATCTACCCTCTGCCCTCACCGTACATCCGGACTGATGATCTCAAGGCCAGGACCAAGAGGATATAAGGTGAGGATCTTGTCCCATAAGGCCAGGAGCCATGGATCAACCACTGCATCTGGCCTGCAAGGAAGAAATTCAGGCTGCAGCAGAGCACCATCATCCCTCCAGGCTCAAGCGCTGCTACCCTGGCACCCGGACAATGCTGGGCTGCCCCTGGGAAACCACCTCCGCTCCCCTTTGGCTGCACAGACAGTCGCTCCATGCCGTTCCCTTCCAGCTTCAGTTATGGAAAACACGTCTCAGCCACTCTAAGCACTCACTTGCTCTCTAGGGCCCAACGACTAATGTCCAACCCCACAACCACCAAACCCCCCAAGCACAACCGGTGGCAGTCACCAACTCCCAGAGCCACACACAGCCTCTGTGCTGTGTGAGGAGAACAGCAGCACAGCTCAGGCTGCTGTAATGCCTGCTGTGTGACAAAGCCATCCCCTGGTCTGAACAGGACTGGAGCAAAGCCAGGAGACCTTGGCACATGCTAGGTGTCATGGGACACCCTGGAGAAGCAAGTGACCCAGGTCTTGGCACAGGAGAGTTATGAGCAGAGACCAGCGTGTTCACAGAGAGCAGCAGGAGGCTGATGGCCACGTCTGGGGCACAGGAACATACCCCAAGTGGGAGCAGCACGCTGCTGTCCCCAAGGCTGGGGTAAAGCATACTCAGCTCTGCTGTCAGCCCAAGGACAAAACTGTCCCACCCCAGGGCTCCCCCCCCGCAACCCTTCCACTGGGCTCTTACCCCAAGTCATGCTGGTCGTCTCCCAATGCCACCGGCAGCAGAGGGTTGCCCCCAAGCTGTAGCACCCGCTTGTGCAGTTTCTTCGCAACAAAATTAAACCTGAGCAGAGAATAAACCTGAGCTGCAGAGGGCAGGGCTCCTCCAGCAGGACAGCAGGCACTGGCTACATGAGCCAGCACACGCTGCCAGGGCGATGCCAGAGCAGCCAGAGAGGCAGGTCCAGCCAGAGCCAGCACACACGATCTGGCCCCGTGCCCTGCCCAGCCCATGCCTCCATCCTGCAGGAGCTTGGAGAAGCAGCTGGCTGCCACTTGCTGAGCCACACAGTCTGTGCCCAGCTTCCCAAAACGGACTTGGGGAGGTCCAGCTTCCCTTCAGGGCAGCTTCAGCCCCAGGCAGAGAAACGCTTCCTTCCCTCTAGCCCCTCACTGCCCCACAGAGTTCAGGCACGCTCCCACCCTTCCCACTACAGCTCTTTCAGGCACATGGGAACAACCTTGTGGGAGACAACTGGGACCAATGGGCCTGGCTGCCAGCTAAAACTCTCTGTTTCATGTCTCCTGTTGGCTTGTCCACTAAAATTATGGTGGCACAAGCGTTCCTGGAATTCAGAGAGAGAACTGACTGAAAAATGCTATCTGAAACACTGCAGCAAAGCAGCTGCTTGAGGAGGCCAGGAGGAAAGAAATGGGCAGAAGCCCAGTTCCTGGGGGTTAGGAGGGACATGGGCTAGTAGGAAAAGGCCTTTTAAAGCTGGTGGGAATTATGTTTCATCTGAGCTGCTGCTCTAGAGTCAGGCTCTCTCTTCCCTTACCCCCTCAGTTCTCCATCCACTCTGGTCTCTCCCG